TAAAGGGATAATAATTGTTACAGATGATAACACATTAATCATAATTTATGCAATGCATAACACTTGCAAACTCGATTTTCAAATGTGTTGAATTCATTAATTAGCCCGTCAAATGTATTTTTAACATCTTTTATGGACATAAATTCACTTTTATAGCTAAAACTATGAAATAAAATACAGAAGGTGTTTAGAATACTTACAACTATAAATTACGTTATTCAACTTTATGGTTTTTACTTTCGTTAATAAATGTCTTATTTCCTTTTATCTCTTATTAAAAATAAAAATAAATGTTTGACTAGGGTCAAAAAGGGGTAATCTCTCACTTTTTACAACTTTCGGAAGTAAAACATTTTAATGACTTTTAGGTTCGAAAAGTTTTGAAAAATTTGACCAGTGAGTATTTTTTTTGTGAATTTCATAAACTAGCTTGTTGATAGGTCTGAAAACTCGAAATAGATTTAGAAAAAATTGTTTAGATGAAAATTTGTAAACATCAATAAGACTTTTAACTAGAAACACGGTTATAATTAGTAAATTCATAGAATAAATTCACAGAAAATTAAATTGAAAAAAATATTATCATGTTTTACTTGAAATATACATTCAACGTATATTTGACCGTTTACAAATTACGAATAAATTTTTTCTTTATATTTAAATACTTTTACTTTTGGCGGTGGGTCTATTCAATTTGTTTCAAAGAAATTACTTAGTTATTTTGTAATTTTATCCAAAGTGAATTGTTAAATAGTACACAACCGAAAGGACATTGTGATTAATATACTCTCGACCTTATTCATTTCACAATGATTGCTTTCATACCCCATATCAAGTTGTAATAATGTATTCATACTTTAGCATATACGCGTACATTTACATTTGGTTAAAATAACCGTGTACACAATGTGTAAACAATTAGTGCAATGGTTCGCAAGTAATTGTATGGTATTCCACGTCTATCATTTGAGTGTACACGGAATTAAAAGTACCCAAGAGCGTGTTTTAGTAACTAACTTTAAAGATTGCATTAATTATTCAGGGACGTTTGGTAAACCTGCGCTTAGTAAAGAATTAATTTATTCCATTGTCTTTATTTGTATTTGCAATTTCGATTAAAAAAATGTAACGGAATGATTGTGCTATGACAATGTTCACAGAGCGACAGAGCTGTTCTATTAAGCATTGAAAAATTATTTGGTGTTCTCGAATAAATTAATTGCCAGCATTAAATCACACATATAAACATGATATCCACAGATAATATCTGAATAATTGCAATAATAAGTTATAAAAAATGCTACCGAAGAAATAATAATGCTGTTTTTATTTCGTTGTTATGACGTAGGAGGACGAAGAGAAACGGATTATAATAAAAATGTTTTGTTATGCATGACGCAACTTTGTTATGTGACTGCCTTAAATAAAATAGGTTAACTACGCATGGTTTATTGGGCAATGAGTCTGACACAAGACCACCCTAAAAAAAATTGGCACATTATTCAAAAAGTATTTGCGTGGTCATTTGTTCTGTAAACGATATATCGTGTAAGCCACCAGCTTACCAGGTTTTAATTGTTGTAAAATAATAGTTAATTAAATGCAATACTTTAGGAATATCAGATCAAAAGCAGTTGTGATTAGAATCTTCCAGTAAACAGATTTCTCCATTAAATATTCATTTGATTCATTTAAACACTTTATAATACAAATTTTGGTTACTTTGCGCCATTGGCATTTAATTGCTTACACAATTAATATTCAGCAGGATTTGCATAGTAACATCGACATCGTCGACTAAATTAATCAACTTATAGTCGATTGCACATCTTAAATCCCTAAAAGCTTTCTACTGTTTGAAAAATTAAAACTCTAATTATAATTATTTGAAATATTTTTCATAAAACAAAAACAGTTGGGTTTTAATGTGAACATTTTTTTTTGGAAGAATCGACATAATAATATGGGCGCTGATATATATATTTTTAAACACAACACTTTTACATGCCTATTTGTGTTATTATTTCTTTTTAAGTGATATTTGTTTTTCTGGTCCCACTCAAGAGCAATATGACATCAGGCTAAATATTATCAGTAGGTTACCCCCTTCAATTTAAATTCCACAAGTTTTTCTTATCGTAAACGTAGAACCGCCTTTTCCTGTCAAGGGCTAAAATAAACGTTTCTCAAACGAGCAAAACTCGCGTAGTGATATAACAATAATTACTGTTATTAGGTAAAAAAATGTTAACCCTGTGTATTTTTTACCGTATTCGTGTGTGTACACTATTTGTGTTTACCCCTATCGTCTCAAAACGGTAAATTTCTTTATTTTTCTTGTCAGCTATTATCCACGGGTGGCCTCCATCTCCTTTGACAGTCCATTCACAAGAAACGGCTGTTGTGGTGATTATTATATTACTGTGTTTTTTTTTTAACGGCGACAAAAGGATGGAGAACGACAAGAATGCGGGTCCAGCGAAGATAAAGCCTTTTTTCTATTTAAAATACTTCCGAGTGTTAAAAAAAATACATCCAGAAGACTGCTATTCTCTCCTATTATAATTATCTGCTTCTGCAATCTGTTCATTTCGCAACGTGCCTTATAAATACGTCTAGGAAGTTAGGTTTACGACATAATAATAATATACATATTATACTATGACTGTATATTGTCAACGGTTATGTTATTGTTGGGTGCCCGTATGCAAAACTACACCCCGTTGAGTATGATGGATGTGATTCGTCTGGTTTTTTTTCTTCAAAATCATTTCTTCTGAAACGTAATCCAGAAGGGAGGAAATTTTAATTCCGTTGGATTTATACATTCGTCAAATGAAATGTCACCACTTGTGTACTTAGTAACAACAATAGTTTTATAAAACCGGAACCCTCTTGTAAAGGCAACTAGTATTTAAATAACAATAAACATAAAAAAATATCAATTAAACTTTTATTTTACTTTTAAAAGTAATCAATCAAATGTATTTAAATTAATTTTAATAATAACATATCTATAATTTTGTTCGGCTCTATGAAGCGGTTCGTTTCATAGGGCTGTTCATGGAAAGAAAGTCGTGTATATAATGTCCATGTTGTCATTCAAAAGACATTGAGTGATAGGTTCACATAATTTACATCGCATCGTTTCCTTTTTTGATTGTAGTTATTGTTGATGGTAATTTGGACAACACGAGAATTCATTTTTAATACGCTAGAAAATTTAAATATTATATAATAAATTTACTTGGCACGATTTGAGGAGACTACTAACTATTTACAATATTAATAATCCGTTTGATCATATTTGCTCCTAAGTAGAATGTTTCATGATTTAACGTATGTATGTGTGTTAGGAGTCAAAAGTCGAAACTATCTCAACCCTTTAAATGGATTATTTCTCTCCACTGCATTTTGACTGTCATTACACACATCATCAATGATTAATGATGCATAGGATAATACAAACTCGTCGATATCTGTAAATGATATCTACCAAATTATAAACTAACATTTGGAATAGGAGTGCGGTAATAATAATTATTAATTAACATTTACATACAAAATCATTGAGTATGGCATGTATGAAATTTATATTGATATATCTAGCGAATAACTTACATAAAATAAATGCCTATATCATTGATCACTTACACATTTTTCATATAAGTTAATAATAAATGAAAGTCTATGAGAAGACTGTCTACAATTTAATAATAATAGATATCAGTTTAATATAAATTTAATTTTCTTAATTTTAATATTTCAAAAATGCTTATGAAAATAAAAATCGAGAAGCAAGCCTGGACCAGAATAACATTTTTTTTTGTGAGAACTAAAGAAATAATGACATCATCTCCGAAGGGCATATTTTTAAATTTCGTTTCAAGTCATAAATGGTTTGAATCAAGTTCAAACAAAAATATGTTGACAGAAGTCTTCATTTTGATTAGTTTTCTTTGTAACAAAGAATTAACTTTGTTTTCAATTTCCTGTGTAACCTCTCTCACTCAATTCACCGCAAAAAATGTTTTCGTTCATTATGAAGCTGTTCTCACTTTATCGTGATAATTTTTTTGTGAATTCAACTATTTAGTAGCTCTACGGCAATTAACATAATTATATTATAGCAGTATTTATCATCAGATCGAAAACATAAAAAAAATACTAGATAGTGTTAGTTGTTAACTTCGAAGCAAAACGCTAAAACGTCAAAATAAATAATCAGTTAATTCATCTTATTGGTAATTAATTTCAAGTTTAACAATAGCCACTGATTAAAAATGCTGAGCATTTATTACCTACCGAATAAACATCGTTCGTTATATATTGACAACTTCTACAACGACACAATTCAATCTATTTATTTGAAGTGTATTCATTAATTTTTATAAGGAAACAATCTAAAGTAATTTTCTGGCGTAAAATGTTTTCTTTGCGTACGTATAAAGCAATAAAGTACACAAACTTTGTTAATAACGCGCCATTAATGTGTGTTGTTCAACGGAACGTTAGCCTATTTAATTTTTACCGGTTAACGATCCATTACGGCTTTAGACGACCCAAAGTAAGTTTCTCAGTCGTGTTATGTTTAAAAAGATTATTTTGAAAAAAAAAAAACTGGGTTTATTGAACTTTGAGTGGCAATTTAGACCGATATCGATGATAGCATTCGCTATTTATTACTTGCAAACACTGAGTACATTGTAATGATAAAAGGGGAGGTACACGATCACACTATCGCATAATGGACAGAGTCGACAAGGCCTTAGTCGATGGTGTGCTCATAAATTAGCGGTATCTCGTTGAACATAACTTACACATAGTTAGAGTTGGCCATCGGGAAATTCATAGCTTCATTGAATTCACATTGAATTATTGATACAAAGCTAATAAACGGCAACGTTTTGTGCTAACAAGTTATGGGCAACCGTGTGCAGTTATTGTTTTATTCAAATACAAATAAATCTTTAAATAAAGTCATGAAGTACCTTAAATAATATGTATTTCATGCGCTCGTATCGTGTACGGTTTTTAAGTAACGTTGTTGGCAATATCATGTTTATATTTAGTAATGGCGTAAGTGTACTACGAGTTTGACTCCAATGCGATAAACACAAAATACACCTTTCCAATGCGGTTATTGTAGCAGTGTAATAAATCTCGGCGTCTTGTGCGAATAATTTTACCTTAATAAGTTTTTTAGTGATGAAAAAAAACTTATTTTTCTTTGATCGTCGACGGAATTTACGGAGCCCCTTAATCCGCAGGGACACACTCCGCATATACCTAGCGCCGACTCTGAGTTGTATAGTAAAAAAAAAGAAAAATTGTATTCTAGAAAGTCAGAAAGACCTTCTAGAGTTAATGCAGTCGTGTTCTCCGCATTTCTACATTTACGCCACTGACACGTAGAAACATTTAAAAAGAAAACGATTTTTATCGATGGCATAGAATTTTTTGGAGACAAGTGAATTCGATTAGCGATGGTCGTGAATTTTCCGTACTAAAACACAAAGGTAACATCATTTTAATTATTTTTCTCAGAAATGGAGAATTATTGTTATAGGTGAATAATTTATATGTTTCTCAGCGATGCGAAAACTTAATCTCGTAGCGTTTTGCATTAGTTAAATTTAAAACGTTTATTGGATTTTCCGGAACACTAAGTACATTTTATTATTAAAAATTCGTATAACGTATAAGCTAAGAATAATGAACGAAATTTAACATTTAATATAAAATGTTCTGGTATGACGTAGAAGGACTGAGCAGACATTGTAACTCAAAATATACCCTTGTAGATCAAAAACGTTTTTATTTTTTTAATAAAATAACAGTTTTGTTGTAATTTCAACAATATATTGACTAGAATTACTATATAATTTTTTGTTTACAGCACAGACGTTCTCCATGGTGGACGCAGGTGCTTGTTATTCGGTTGTATAATATTGTTACATTGGGTCTGAGGTGTGCATGTCGCTAATCGAGACATACCATCCACATCGACTGCCTTTATTCCATTAAATTAATACATTCTGAATTCAACGGATTCCGGTGTTTCTATGTGGTTTTGCATGACACAAGTTATAACTTTCTCACATGATAAATTATCCAAATATCGGTATGTAATGTGTGTAATAATAATAAAAACTAACTACCCACTTACCTGTCGGGTAAACAATTATTAACGACTATAATCGTTAAAGGTATTAATGATACATCGATTCGCAAAAAAAAAAAATAAAAAAACGATACAGTTGTACAGTTAAACTCAGCATAGTGGGGATTCGGCTAGCAGACTCCGGTGTACGTTGAAACTCGATAGTGATCAACATTGACAGGAAAGCTTTCATTTAAATTAATTTTTGAATAATCTAAACATTTCATTGTTGTACAAATCATATAAAAATCGTTCATTTTTACAGTAAATTTTATGGTTTTTGGAGTAATTAGTTAATTACGCATAAAGTTATTAAACAGCTTTTCTTTTTTCGTCTCATAGTACATTATATTAGCTTTAATTTCAAATAAAACACGTATGTTTTTAGGAATATTTTCAAAAATTGGTCAAGAAAAATTGTTGGCCTGATTTTTAAGTCCCTCATTGTTTTTTTTCCACTGGAGTACAATTTCCAAAAAAACTATTTCGCCAGCAAGTTAAATGTCTAAAAAGTATCTTAACTAACTAGCAACAGACTACAATAAAAATCTCGTAATGATCCTTTTCCTTTCTAAATAGTTATTTGAATGCAAAGTGACAAATTTTGGAATTTTACGAAATTATGCCACTGATAGATTCAACTAGACACAATTTATGATCTTTTAGACGTATCGTCGAGGAAAATCGGTCCAGAAGAAACGGGGTATTCGTGAGAAGAAAGAAATGAAAAAAAAAAAACAGGATATAATAAAAACCAATAGCTTCCCAACAACGCATTTAAGCTAAAGCAAAAATCCGTTGGAGTATAATTTGAAACACGATTTGTCCAGTCCATAATTGCGACAAGACAAAGTGCACTTTACAATGTTTCGGGTTTAGTAACCACTGTAATTGATATGGTGCGCATTTACCTGTTTTTGTGAGTCGGGAGGGTGCGAGCCATGTAGAAAAGGGTCCGAGGGGTTGGCGGCGGCAGTGGGACGCACTGAAACGTTGCGCCAGAGGAGTGTGCGTTGGATGTCTGATAAACGACCACAAGGGCTCAAGTGTGTAGTAAAGAGGATTTACAAAAGAAAATGCGCTCTGTTATAATAATATTTTATTATTATAAGAATATGTTATTAAACTTTGTGTTCGAGCAATATTTATTAACCGATAAAAACTTTGTTGAAAAACTACTAGATGTGTATTTTTAAGCCGGCTCGTACGTGCAGTTGCTCGAGTAATCGTACCCTGGCAATATTTTGTTAGCAACAAAAGTTCAACGTACTCGTTAAGACCCGTTCATGTGCCACAAGGTGCTTGTGTATGTTTTTGGGGGTTGGAAGTTCTGCTATGAACACAAAAGGATTTCAAACAGTTTTACAAATTACTGTAATTAGATCCAAAGCACAGATAGGTATGCTATATAACTCAGTTTTATTTTGCATCATTGCGCTCTATTTGTTGCGCATCCTCTAATATTTCATGGCACTGTAAATAAAGTAAACTTCATGTTCAGCCCGTCCAACGACCATATCGATCGTGATAAATGATCTTCTACGCGGTTAAAAATAACGCAATCTCGTCTGGATATCTTTCAGTGTGTATCATGACGGTACAGCATTATTATTAAACGCCCAAAAGAAGCAGGTAAAACCATTTTTACACAACAACATATTATTATTTTATTGTATAAATTGTGACCGACCATTGTGCCCGGCACGTTTGTTCGTATACAAAAGCCACCGTTTTCTTTTTTTAAGGGAATATTGGGGGTGCCAAACGTAGTAAGCACAATTTTCGAATGAAACCCAAACGGAATCGACGGTTTCTTACTTTTTTATTTCACCGTACGGAATGGTCCTACCTGTACGGCTGTTGTCAACACAAAACTGCAGTTATTTCAATTGTCATAAAACTATTGCCAGGGAACTTTTATTGAAGTACAACCGTAACCAACGGGGTTTCATTGTTGATTATTCTAATTAATGAAATTTCATATGGAACACGTTTTTTAACAACGTTTTGTTGATTCTGTTATTATACATCATCGGCGTGAATTAATGGTGTTAAACTCGGGGTTGCGTGTTCACGCGTGATTTTGGTCGTTTAATGTCATGTTTACCAGACGACTATACCGTAGAAACAACTTTTTATCCAGACCACAGCAACCCATCTGTTTCGAACGGTTTCACGGCGAACCAAAATAAGTAGCCGCTTGTTATTAGTTAAACTATGTCGGCTGGTGTGTGTGGTAAACAACCGTGTGTACATGTGATCGCAACACTGTCGTGTTACAAATGAGTGTGATATATTTTTCATATAAACAAAGCCTGCAATCGTCTCCCTATTTGAATTGTGTGTGTACACTTGTGCAGGCATACTTTTTATAATACAAAAAATAACGGCAGGCAAAAGTGAATAAAAGGAAATTGGTAATTTTATCATCTGCAGCTTTTAGGCTTTTAGCTAGTGTTGAAACGTATTAATAAAACTAGGTTATAACCGTAACGCCGAGTTGAGTAGTTCTGAAAAAGGTACACTTTTCGTTGAACTAAATGATATTAAATTCTAGTGTACTTTAAATTGATATTGAATTTTTTCTATTTTTTTAAAAGCTTAAAATCTAGAGTTTTATGCAATGCGTATTTATTTTTCTCGCATAAACAACTATTCATTTTTTTTTTATTTCTCATGGTTTATTCTAAATAATGCTTTTTACCTTTTGATGTAAATAAATCTAATAGAACAGCATTGATCTGAGCATTGCGATTTCATCAGCCTGAAAGGAGTTTGTAATTATCGTGTACGTTTGAACTGTGATTGAGATTGATGTGTACAGCGAGTCAACTTTGAAGTAAAAGTTGGTTTATCGTCGTTAGTCGGCGGAGCCACTTGGATTGCTGGTGACATCTGACAAATGATGAATGGAAATGAAAGAATGAAGGATGTGGATAAAACGCCCGGGTAATAATTTATCTGGCAAGTGGTAGTCTAAGAGCAAAAGTCTAACAGCACTCTGATGAAATAGACTGGAAACGCGTTGAACGTGTCTCGTGGCAGCCCCAGTGGTTTGCGAGAGAGTGTGTATCGATTTACTTCTGTAGGGAAGAACGTGAAAACCGTCTCTCTGTCTCTTAGTTCATGCATCGCGTAAATATGTGACTCGTGTTTTCGGTCTATATGCAAATCGAGCCGTACATGATTTAGCGGATTGAACAAGGTTGTTGCTAGTCATGTCATTATTTAATCACAACGTTACACTAAACGTTTAATTGGTTTTTTAGATTTGTTAATAAAACGTATGCGGCCGACACGTAATGGGTCGATACTGATCGACAGACAGCCCTGAAATATTATTTCGGCATGGAAATGACCTTTCGCAAGTTGCCGACCTCGGGAGACAATAAAGCGTTTTAACTAACCTAAATCAGAACGCAGATTCGATAATTGTTAATGTGATCGTTGTCATCGCAATGTTCTATCGATACCGTTACTGTCAAGCTTAAAGCGGAGGTTCGTTGGGCGATGGTGACAAACCCAGTGTTGGTAAAACGCAAGTAAATAAAAAAAAAAAAAAAACGGGCAATAAAATCCTAGTAGTTGCAAAATTAAAGCGACACTTTGGAAACGCTCCAAGTATCAATTTTTAACGAGCAGATAGTAAAAACAAAACTATCGACTTGTATTCGTTGGAGAATTTTACAATTGATTTGATGCATTTCATTCGCTTTACCAGAACAGTATTTTATGATATTTTCCTGGAACAAACGCACAGTAAATAAATGCAAATTTCGTTGTGCTGTCTTTAGAATGACAATTAGTGTCCGGCTCGTTTTTAATTGTATTCGTAATTTGAGCGAAAATCTCACAAGTTTGGAGTGTTATGCAAACGTCACGGTATTGGCATCTCAATGAAGACAGCCGTTTGGAGACCGTCGCTGTATCGAACTACTTACAAGATGTTTTGGAACGACAATTTGATTTGCAGCTTAACGTCGCCGAGTCGAGATTTATGTTTCTTGGGAATTTATTGATAGAGACACGTAGCTTTGCTGTACAGCGCGGTGGCCGTGGCGGCCATTTGATGTCCCTCGTTGTACGCAGACAACAAAACAGTCGGGCTTTGAATAATAATCAAACGCAACGTTATCGGCCGGACAAATCGGATACTCGGGAAACGTGATTCCGACATGATTTACCCCCTGAGGCTCTGGGACCGTACGCATCCAAACCGACACATATCTCTCTGGGACAATGAAAATATTATTATCATTATTTTATTTTTATTTCACTGGAGAGTACGTCGGCCGACGGTCGTATGTTATTATAATTTAAATTTGTTCGGGCGCAACAACAGACCGTCGATTGTTATCGACTCGAACGCCGTCGGAGAAATCCGTCGCCTTCAAACATAAGGCACACAATTTGAGCATTTCACAGCGTCGGGTACACATGCTCATCGGAATGTCTAAGGCCGACTAAAATTAATCGAGGCCAGTTTGTGTCAAAAATTTCATTTGCCTCTTTGGCTCTGGCCGGCTGCCAAAATTCGCTGTTTGGACTTTTCTTTTGGTCGGCGTTGCCTTTCGGAGCGCCTTCGACGTTTGGCTTGCGTTCAGCACGTGCGCGACCGACCAAAACGACTAAGTAGTCTCGACCTACAGGAAACTCACTCTCGGAAAATCGCGAGTCCGCAGTGGGCAGGGGTGATTTACACACGTCAAAAAAAAAAAAAAAAAAAACA